AAAACACAGTGGGGAGGGAAATGGGGGGGGCTGAGAAGAGACGCCAAGTGCTCCTGCGGCCAGGTGAGATGCTGGCAGCAGCAGGGGACCAGGGAGTCTCTGGTCAGGCTGCCCCCCCAGCTGTCTGCCCCCCAATCTTCCCCCACCAGCCCGGGGGCACAGACCTTCCAGTTCGATGTCGTGCCTCTGGGCCAGGCGCAGCACATCCTCCCCAACGCGCCCCTGCACAGGGACCCGGCGCCCGGACCGGTCAATGAAAACCACATTCACCCTAAGGAGGGAAAGGGGGGGTGTTGGGATCCGGGTTTCCCAGAGGCCTCCTGGCACCTGCAGCCACGGGCTCGAGGCCTGGGCGGGATGGTGAGCAGAGTGAAGGGAGCCGGGGGAGAGGGGACCAGTGCAGACCTCCGAGGCCAGAGCCGCCTGCAGGCCAGAGGGCATTGACCCCTGCAGCAATCCTGGTGCTTGTCCAGCCAGGCATTACCACATGCCATGCACAGCACCGGCCAGCCGCACGTCCCACAGCACGGCAGGGCAGGAAACCGAGGAAAAGAGCAAGCCAGAGATTTGCCCAAGGTCAGCAGCAGAGCCAGGCATGGAACCCAGGTCTCCCGAGCCCAATGCTGCACCCTCTTGGTCACGCTGCTACTCTTGCCCCATTCTCTGAGCCCCCCTTGAGAGGGGCAGGAGCAGGACCTGGCAGTATCACCTGGATAGCCCCAGGCTCCGGCCCGCCTGGCAAGGGAGGCAGACACGATCCTCCTTTGTCTGACCAGGGACAAAGGGCAAGTGACTTGCCAGAGGCCGCCCCAGGAGCCGGTGTCAGCCCTGGGATTAGAACCCAGCGTCCTGCCCCCAGCGCTGCGCTCAGCCCACAACCACCCCGCATCCTTCTGGACCACGTCCGGCAGCCCCAGCAGGCAGCGCGTCCCGGCGAGGCCTAGACCCTCCAAGGCGCTGGCAGCGAGACAGCCCGAGTGCAGGTCCCTCGCTGGATCCTCAGACTCACACGGCGCCCACGGGCTCTGCTGCGCAGCCCTCGTCTTCCACCCGGAATGCCACTGGGAAAACAGATTGCAGCTCAGCTGGCAGCAGGCCCCCAGTCCCCAAGCCCAGCCTGAGCCCAGGCGACAGGGAGGCCGTGTGCCCTGAGGTGCTGCTCCGGCACCCGCCGGCAG